GTTTTGTTCTTTTTCTGTTTTTTAGAACAGTTTATATAAGACAGGAATTCTTACTGAAAGTTTGAATTTACCTGAAAATTAAGCTAGATATTTTAGGAGGGAAGACTTAACTAATTGAGTGTATTTAAAACCTATTGACATAAAACAATTATTTCTTGTACTAATTTTGGTATTTTCTAGGAATTAACTTACTTCATCTAGATTTCATTTTTTTGAAAATCTGACTGCAGTCATTTATTTATTTAGAATTTATTGTTGTCTTACTATTTTCAAAGAACAAGCTTTTTTTATACTTTTCTCTCTTTGTGTGTGTGTTTGTGTGTGTGTGTGTGTGTGTGTGTGTGTGTGTGTGTGTGTGAGAGAGACAGAGTCTCACTGTGGCCCAGGTTAGAGTGCAGTGACATGATCTTGGCTCACTGCAACCTCCACCTCCTGGGTTCAAGGGATTCTCCCATCTCAGCCTCCTGAGTAGCTGGGATTACAGACATGTACCACAACACCCAGCTAATTTTTGTATTTTTAGAAGAGTTGGGGTTTCACCATTTTGGCCAGGGTGGTCTCGAACTCCTGACCTCAAATGATCCACCCACCTCAACATCTCAGAGTGCTGGGATTACAGGTGTAGCCACTGGGCCTGGCCTTTTCTTTAATTTAAAAAAAATTTTTAGAGACAGCTGCTTGCTCTGTCACTCAGGCTGGAGAGCAGAGGTGCAATCACAGGTCACTGCAGCTCGACCTGTGGCCTCAATCGATTTTCCCATCTGAGCCTCCCAAGTAGCTGGGACTAGAGGTGCACACCACAGTGCACCACGGCTGGCTCATTCATTTTGTTTTTGTTTTTGTTTTTGTTTTTTTGAGACAGGGTCTTACTCTTCTCACTCTCTTACCCAGGCTAGAGTGCAGTGGTGTAATTATCACTCACTGCAGCCACCAATTCCTGGGCTCAAGCAACCCTCCCTTCTACCTAAGTCTCCCAAAGTGCAAGGATTATAGGCATGAGCCACAGCACCTGGCCTTTCATTTTCTTTTTTCTTTTTTTTTCCCCAGAGATTGGGTCTTGTTCTATCTTCCAGGCTGGAGTGGAATGGTGTGATCATAGCTCACTGTAATCTTGAACTTTTAAGGTAAAGCAATCCTCCTGCCTCAGCCTCCTGAGTAGCTAGGACAAGGGCAAAACACCATGCCGCGCTAATTTTTAAAATTTTTTGTAGAGATGGAGTCTCAGTATGTGGCCCAGGCTGGTCTAGAACTCTTGGCCTCAAGCAGTCATCCCGCCTCAGCCTCCTAAAGTGCTGGGATTACAGATGTGAGCCACCATACCCTAGCACTGCGGTTTTGACCTGCTTTATTTCTGACCTGGGCCAGTTCATCACCCATTCTTAGGCAATCTGGTGGTCCTCTGCTCCCACATGGTCACCATATTGATGCCGAATTTATTATGGACACATGATTGGTATAGCACGCTACAGCCCAGAATTCCTAGACTCAAGTGAAACTTCTGCCTCAGCCTCCGAAGTAACTGGGCCTCTAGGCGTCTGCCACTGTGCCCACCAGGCTTTTTATTTTATTTATTTTATTTTATTTTTTTTTTTGTGAGACAGAGTTTCACTTAGTCACCGAGGCTGGGATGCAGTGGCGCAGTCTCAGTTCACTGCAGCCACCTTCTCCTGGATTCAAGTGATTCTCCCATCTCAGCCTCCCAAGTAGCTGGAATTACAGGTACCTGCCATCTTGGCCAGCTAATTTTTGTATTTTAGTGGAGATGGGGTTTCACCATGTTGGCCAGGCTGGTCTTGAACTCCTGACCCCAGGTGATCTGCTGGCCTCGGCATCCCAAAGTGCTGGGATTGCAGGTGTGAACCACTGCACCTGGCCGATTTTATTTTTTAAATATATATTTTTGGGTGAGACACAGTGGCTCATGCCTGTAATTCCAGCACTTTGTGGGGACCAAGGTAGGCAGATCACTTGAGGTCAGGAGTTCAAGACCAGCCTGGCCAACATGGTGAAACCTTGTCTCTACTAAAATAAACTACAAAAATTAGCCAGGTGTGGTGGTGCCTATAGTCCCAGCTACTGGGGAGGCTGAGGCAGAATTTCTTGAACCTGGGAGGCAGAGGTTGCAGTGAGCTGAGATGGCTCCACTGCACTCCAGCCTGGGCAATACAGCAAGACTCCATCTGAAAAAAACAAAAGATATAGATAATTTTTTTGAATTCTCTATTTCATTGATATCTGCCTTTTTCTTTATTTTCTTCCTTCGTGGTTTTTAAGTTACTCTTTCCCAGGTTGAAAGGCTTGACGACTTTATTTTTAACCTGTGTTTTCTGAGAAATATATATAAAACTTTACATATTATTTTGACTGTGTCTCACAAGTTTTTGGCATGTAGTGTTCTATGTTTTATATAATCCTAATTAATTTTATGATTTTTTAACCAAGGAATTTGTTTTAATTTTATTGCATTATAGTTGGAGAACAAAGTCTATATGATACTTATTCTTTGGAATTGGTTGCATGTTTTTTAATGGACTAATACAGGGTCTGGTTTTTGTTTTTAACTGTCCTGCGTATGCCTGGAGAATATATATTCTGTCTTGAGCGTATGTTCTTTTTTTCTTTGCTTTTTTTTTTTTTTTTTTTTTTTTTTTCCCCAGACAGAGTCTCGCTCTATTGCCGAGGCTGGAGTGCAGTGGCACGATCTCAGCTCACTGCAGCCTCCGCTTCCTGGGTTCAAGCAGTTATTCTGCCTCAGCCTCTTGAGTAGCTGGGACTGCAGGTGCATGCCACCACCCCCAGCTATTTTTTGTATTTTTAGTAGAGGCGGGGTTTCACCATATTGTTCAGGCTGGTCTCAAACACTTGGCCTGAGTGTATGTTCTAATTGCACATTTTTAGGATATATGTGAAGCATGTGCATATTTATAATAAATATATATTTATTGTTTTTCCTTTTATTTATACATAATGTCCTCTGTATCACCTATGAGATATATATATAGATATTCTATAATTGATACATAGATATAATTTTTTTTTTTTTTGAGACAGCCTGTCACCCAGGCTGAGTACAATGGCATGATCTGGGGTCACTGCAACAACCAGGTTCAGGAAATTCTCCTATCTCAGCTTCCTGAGTAGCTGGAGTTAAAGGCATGTGCCACTACACCTGGCTAAGTTTTGTATTTTTAGAAGAGATGGGGTTTCACCATGTTGCCCAGAATGATCCCGAGCTCCTGAGTTCAAGTGATCCGCCTGCCTCAGCCTCCGAAAGTGCTGGGATTACAGGTGTCAGCCACCACACCCAGCCTAATATATTCTTTACTTTGATTCTATTTTATTAGTTACTAAGATCACTATCCAGCTTCCTTTCAGATCATATTTACCTGATGTCTTTTTCCATCCTTTATTTGCAACCTTTCCATGTACTTTCATCCCACCCTTGCTACCCTCCCTGTCCCCAAGCATCCACTGATCTCATCTACTCCCTGTCAGTCTAGGTTAGTCTGCATTTTCTAGAGTTGATAAAAATGGAATCATGCAGTATGGTCTTTTGGAGGAAGAGACTAGGCTTCTTTTACTCAGCATAATTGTTTTGAGATGAACCTATGTTGCGTTTATCAATGGTTTATTCCTTTATATTGCTTAGTAGTTTTCTGTTGTTTATACCAGTGTGTTGATCCATTCATCTGTTGATAGATGTTTGGGTGGCTTCTCCATTGTCTTTTCATTTGCATGCAATGACTAATGAGGTTGAACATTTTTTCATGTGCCTCTTTGCCCATTTTGTATTGGGTTTTTGTTTTCTTATTGTTGAATTTTGAGAGTCTTTTATATATTCTGGATTTAAGTTCTTTAACAGATAAGTGACAAATATTTTCTCACAATTTATGACTTGTCCTAAAAGTTGTTAATTTTGATGAAATCCAGTTTACCTTTTTTTTTTTTCCTTTTATGGATCATGTTTTTGGTGTTATGTCTAGGAACTCTGCCTAACTAAAGGTAACAAAGATTTTTCTCTTCTGTTTTCTTGCCGAAATTTTATAGTTTTCAGTTTTATACTCAGGTCTGTGATTGATATCTTGGATCTATGTCTCTGCCAAAACATCATGAATTGTAATCCCCAGTGTTGGAGATGGGGCGAGGTGGGGCTTAGTGGGAGGTGATTGGATCGTGGGACAGTTTTTCATGAATGATTTAGCACCATTCCCCTTGGTACTGTCCTCACGATAGTAAGTTCTTGTGAGATCTGGTTATTTAAATGTTTCCAGCATACCAAGTAAAACATTTGAAGTAGCGATTTAAAAAAATAAAAAAAATAAAAAGGCCGGGTGTGGTGGCTCAAGCCTGTAATCCCAGCACTTTGGGAGGCCGAGGCGGGTGGATCACGAGGTCAAGAGATCGAGACCATCCTGGTCAACATGGTGAAACCTCGTCTCTACTAAAAATACAAAAAATGAGCTGGGCATGGTGGTGCGTGCCTGTAATCCCAGCTACTCAGGAGGCTGAGGCAGGAGAATTGCCTGAACCCAGGAGGCGGAGGTTGCGGTGAGCCCAGATTGCGCCATTGCACTCCAGCCTGGGCAACATGAGTGAAACTCCATCTCAAAAAAAAAAAAAAAAAAAAGTACAAAAACTTTTTTTTCCCGCTTGCTCTCTCTTGCTCCTACTCCTGCCATGTGAGATCCCTTTGCCTTCTGCCATGATTGTAAGTTTCCTGAGGCCTACCCAGAAGCCAAGCAGAAGCCACTATGCTTCCTGTACAGCCTGCAGAACTATGAGCCAACTAAACCTCTTTTCTTTATAATTACCCAGTCTCAGGTATTTCTTTACAATGGTCCAAGAACAGAATAACACAATGATCCTTTTGGGTAAATTTTTCTATGTGGGGCAAGGTATATATTCTTCTTTTAATACATTGCTGGATTTGTATGGAACCATTCTTGGCAGGAGTTCTCACTGTAATGAAATTTGTCTCTGTTTGGTGGTTGTTTTCACAGCATCTCTGGAAGTTGATGGTAGAAGAGTCCGATTTACTGGGTCAGCTGAAGGTAATGGCTGAGCTGTTGTAATTCTTACAATGATGCCGGTAGGCAGTGACTTCCATTCCCTGACGTTTTCTGAGAGCACTGGTTGCCTATACCCAGACTTCCAGAGTCAACTCATTTGTTCTTATCCAAGTGAGCAAACTATACCTAATGTTACAAATCTACTGTCATACAAAGATTTGGGAGTGTACTTTTTCTGGCATAATATAATTATGTTGCTATTGAATAAATAAGGCCAAATAGACACCAGTCATCCTGCTATGCGGAACTTAATATACTTCTTTGAAATGTCCAATGCCTATATCCTTTTGTAGTTTGGGCTCAAGTTGATGAAATTGGAAATTACTGTATACTTGTAATTCCTCAGGACAGTGAGGAGCTCCTGTGTTGCTTTACTGAATTGTAAGTTAAAATTCTTTCCTCAGATCATTAAAGACTTTTACCTTCTGGGACGTGGAGAACTGTTTCAGGCCTTCATTGACACAGCTCAACACATGTTAAAAACACCGCCCACTGCAGTAACTGAGCATGGTAATTGTGGCCCTGAGAATGATCAACTGATTGACATTGCAGGGTATTTCTTGGCTGCTCCTGACCCTTTTAAGGCTTGCTCCACATAAGAGCAGCCTGGTGAGTTACAGAGCAGTGGCTTCCCGAGATGGAAGGCCCTTTTGCAGGTAGGCTTCATTGCGGGGTCATTGGGAACAGTGTCTTGGCCCATGACCCTTCCCGGAAGAGTTGGTACAGACCTTCAAACCAGGTATTTTTTTCTCATTGGACTACAGCCACATATATTTTATGGGGCATATTGGGACTCAGCGCTTCTAGTAGTGTTGTAGTAGAATTCTTTAAGTGTGAATGATGGAAACGTCACCCGAGCTAGCCTAGTTAGGAAAGGGAAATTGATTTGCTATTGTATCTAAAACTCCAGTGGGACAACTTGGATTCATATTCATTCTCTCTCTCCCTCTCTCCCCCGACCCCCGTCTCTCATTCATATCTTGTATATGTCTCTTGTGAACTCTTTGACCTTCTGGAAACATGACCACCAGCAGCTCCCAGGAACATGCCTCACAGTGTCCTCTTCTAAAGGAACCAAACCTGATCCCTCTTGTTGCAAGTTAGAGAATTCTACAGAATTCTCTAGGTTTTGATTGGCCCAGCCCATATGACATGCCTATTCTTGTATCAGTCAAAGAGGTCAGAACACTAGGCTATGCCTAGTTGAGTGAAGTGGCCACCCCTTGACCAACTGATGGCCATTCCTATTCAAACTGCATGAATAGAGTTGGGTGAGGATCGAAAAAACTAAAATGGGAGAGAGAAAATACACACAGGCTGATTTTTTTTCTAGCTCAGTAAAACCTTAGATGTCCACGGTACTTACATAGTACAAATAAAAGTACTTGTGGTTGCAAATATCAGAAAATCCAGTTCATACTCACTTAAAGCAAAAGGAAAGAAGGAATGTATTGATTCTCATAACTGAAAAGCTCAGCAGTGTGATGGTTTTTGGCAAAGCTTGATCCAGTGACAAGTGTGGCACCTTTAGGACTTGGTATCTTTCCATCTTTCACCTCTTCCTTCTCAGACAGGCCTGCTCTGTATGGTAGCAAGATAGTCTAGCCAAGTTACATTCTATTAAGCCCCTGTTTATCTTGAAGAAAGAGCTGTACTAAGAGTCTGAATAGAGCCTCTGGATTGGCCTGGCGTGGTTGTGTTACTATCCCTAAACAATATAGCATAACAAAGTAGAGTATTACATTCCACTTGATCATGCCTACATCACTTGGCTACCCCTAGAATCGGGTGTTGTCTAGCTCTAACCCACTGGAAATACATGAACTGTACTGAGTAGGGATGATTCTCCAAGGAAAATCAGGAGGCAGTTTGTTACCAGCAGGAAGAGAAGGATGGACGGATGTTAGGCAAATGCAACAGATGTCCACTGTGTCCCACTGTTAGTGTTGGGCATGCTGGGGAGGAAGTGGAAAGCTGCAGGAGTCTGGGCTTGTTCTATAGGCAGGTGTCCTTGTCAGCCCGCGTGTTCTTTCTTGCAGATGTGAATGTGGCGTTTCAGCAGTCAGCACACAAGGTATTGCTAGATGATGACAACCTTCTCCCTCTGTTGCACTTGACAATTGAGTATCACGGAAAGGAGCACAAAGGTTTGCCATTCCTGCCTGCCACCTTAGAGTTCCTACTGGTCATACCCATTTTCCCATCTCTGCTTCCAGCCCCTGCCATAGAAACCATATAATTCTGGATCTTAGAACTCAGCTAGTACAGTACTATAGTTTTATACAGAAGAAAAGGGAAGTCCAGAAAGGCTATGTGAGATGCCCAGGCCATGTTTTGGGGGCGTTGGGGATTTGTTTTTGGTCATGCTGCTAGAATGGTCCCTGTTTTATTTATTTCCAGCCTCCAGATTTTAAGGCTGAGGAAAGAATCTCTAGAAGACCTCCCAAGAAAACCTCACAAAGAAGTTTCCTTGCCCTCTTTTTTGTGTCACCTGTAAGCTTCTGACATCGCAGACTCCAGCGAGCTCTCGTTTCTTTTCTTTTGGAGATGGAGTCTAGCTCTGTCGCCCAGGCTGGAGTATAGTGGTGCATTTTTGGCTCACTGCAACCTCTGCCTTCCAGGTTCAAACAATTCTTGTGCCTCAGCACCCTGAGTAGCTGGGACTACAGGTGCACACACCACCACACCCAGCTAATTTTTTATTTTTAGTAGAGACAGGGTCTCACTCTGTTGCTCAGGCTGGTCTTGAACTGCTTGCAAACTCATTTCGTGAATGTTATTCACTTGCTGAGTCTCTGATTCTTGATTTACCAAGTCGTTATCTTTTCTTTTTTTCTTTTCTTTATCATAGCAGATGCTACTCAGGCAAGAGAAGGTCCTTCTCGGGAAACTTCTCCCCGGGAAGCCCCTGCATCTGGCTGGGCAGCCCTAGGTCTTTCCTACAAAGTACAGTGGCCACTACATATTCTCTTCACCCCAGCTGTCCTGGAAAAGTGAGTATTTCTGAGTTTCTTTCACAGGTAAATATAACCCACCTTACTTGCAAGGGAAAAAACTAGCAGGAATAGAATTACTGGGAGAGCAAGCTGTGGTAGCACATGTCTGTAATCCCAGCTACTCCAGAGCCTGAGGTAGGAGGATCCCTTAAGCCCAGGATTTCAAATTCATCCTGGGCAACATAATAAGATCCCATCTCTTTAAAAAACAAAAAAAAAAAAAAATTAATGGGAACAAGATAGCTACCCAACTAGTTTTTAACAATCTGTAAATCAAAACTTCTAAACGTTTATGCCTTCAGGGGGTAGACTGATCACATTAGTAAGTGAAGCTCAGATACGAGACACAGGGAGTGGTGGGTGTTGAAATCCACAGGAGGGCACATACCCACTTCAAACCGTTGTTTTTTTAAATTGCCAAATAACAAGCAGTTTGTAGGCTGCCAGTTTGTGACCTCTGGAAAATAAGGTCTCAAGTACCATGTAAGGATAATTGCCCTTGCTGATTCCCTCATGCCTGACAAGGTCTCTCCCTCAATTTTGTAATATTTTTTGTTGATTTACTTGGGAAAGTCCTCCAGCCTGCATGTTTGCTGTGGATGTCAGCCGCTAGGGAGAAGATTGCCTCCTTATCCCCAGGGAGAGACAACAGGGGCAGCCAAGCTTGGGGGTGAAGTAAAGGAGCTGAGCGAGTTGGAGTCTCTTTCTGTCAGGTCACCCTTGCTCTTTATCATGAGAGCTTGCCAAGTGTTCCTGCTTGGCTTGGTCAGGACCTAATGTCCCCGAACCAGAGATCTACAGAAAAGAGGCAAGAGAGGCAAATGTGGCTGGTGGTGGCTTCTGAAATTTATGCTTACACCATATTTAGGAACTTCCCAAACCAATTGCTGGTCAGAGAACTGGCCCCTGGCCTGGATGGAGAATTGAAGCTGTCATACTCAGTGAAACCAGAGGAATGAAGAAAAGGGAAACAAACAAAAAGGCCGTCTCTTCCTCCAGCCACCACTCCTAATCCTTCCTATTCTTCTTCCTAGACCTCTCTACTTTTTTGAGGTAGAGAAGCTTAGGGTAGAATAGACTGGGCATAAACTAGAAAAGATGAGGCTGGTTCAGGGAGAATGTTCTATGGCAAATTCAGAGTCCATGGCCCAGCTAAGCAAGTGGCATGGACCCTGTACAAAGAACTTCCAAAGATCTTCAGCTCCCAGGATCCTGTAGACCAACAGCCCACTTACCTCCCAACTGGATATGCTCTCAACACCCTTGAAAAAATCAAGTTTAGAAATATTATTTTTTCATTTTCATTATAAAAATTTATAAACAAAAATATAGACTATAACAAACTCCTGTGTCCTCATTATTCACCCTCAGTAACCATCAACATTCTACTACTAGTTTCATCTGTCCCTCCCCCACTTTTGTTGCTGGAGCTGTATAAAGCAAATCATAATCCATTCATTCTGCCAATAAACAATTGAAAAAGGCATATTTCAGCAGAACTACAATGCCATTGTGACATCCAATAAGATTAACAGTAATCCCTAAAATCTAATATCCAGCCTACATTGAAATTTCTCCAGTTATCTAAAAAAAAAATCTTTATGTTTGGCTTTGTTCAAATCAGCATCCAAACAAGGTCTATTTTTTTTATTATGTTTGTTCCTTTAGAAATAAATAATTTTTAAAACCAAACAGAATGGGACTGTCTTCTGCAAGCCTGCCTACAAACAGGTAAATAAATCCAATTCTACCAAGAATCAGCTGTTGTTCCCATGTGTTTTTTCATTATGGGGTCTCAGCATTAAGCAGTTAGCTCCTGAGCTTGCAGGGAGGCAGGAGTCTATTTAGAGGGAAGCTTTAGGCTTCAAGGACAGAGAATCAGCTTCATCATAATCCTTGATTCATAACACACTATTTTTTTTTTTGAGACAGGGTCTTACTCTGTTGCCCAGGCAGCACACTGCAGCCTTGACCCCTGGGCTTAAGCGATCTTCCTGCCTCAGCCTCCCGAGTAGCTGGGCACCACCATACCTGGCTAATTTTTTAAATTTTTAGTAGAGATGGCATCTCACTATGTTGCTCAGGCTGGTCTTGAACCCCTGGGCTTAAGCAATTATTCTGCCTTGGCCTCCCAAAGTGCTGGGATTATAGGCGTGAGCCCACCACATCTGGCCTGTTTAAAGAATTATAAAAAAGGCTATATGTAATCTTTTGTGATTTACCTTTTTCATTCAAAAATCATATTGCTAAGAAGCAATATGAGTCAACCATTAAAAAAGGGGTATTTCAACAGAACTATACTGCCATTATCACAGCCAATAAAGTTGACATTTCTCCCTTACAATCTGATATCCAGTCCACATTGAAATTTCCCTAGTTATCTAAAAATTGCAGAGATGGGGTTTCACCTTGTTATATAGCTGGAGTTCATTCATTTTGGCTGCTATATGATATTCCATTGTATAGCTAAATTACAATTTATTTGTCTACATATCTAGTCATTCTTACTGCTTCTTTGTGAGATGGGTGGGTAGCACAAAGTCCTAGAGTCTGTAATGTGGGGGAAGTGCAGGGGGTGAAATTTTCATCTTGAATATCCTGTTGTTTCTGTCCTAGATACAATGTTGTTTTCAAGTACTTATTGAGCGTGCGCCGGGTGCAAGCTGAGCTGCAGCACTGCTGGGCCCTACAAATGCAGCGCAAGCACCTCAAGTCCAACCAGACTGATGCGATCAAGTGGCGCCTAAGAAATCACATGGCATTTTTGGTGGATAATCTTCAGTACTATCTCCAGGTCTGTGCTGAGAGATGAGTGGAAGGAAGGGATATGGAAACAAGCCTAGGAGATTGGCAGGGAGTATCAAAGAGGGACTACAATTTTGTATTTGATAAAATGGTGGGGTTTGAGAAAATTCAGGAGTTGTATCACAAGGCATGTTTCTTAAAAAAGCATTTTACTTTATTTTGTTATTTTTTAGACAACAGGGTCTTGCTCTGTTGCCAAGGCTGGAGTGCAGTGGTGCACTCATAGCTCACTGAAGCCTCAAGCTCCTGGATTCAAGTGATCCCCCTGCCTCAGCCTCTCAAGTAGCTGTGACTACAGACACATGCCACCATGCCTAGCTTTTTAAAATTTTTTGTAGAGATGGAGTCTCACTTTACTGCCCAGGCTGGTCTCAAAATCATGGCTTCAGCCATGCACAGTGGCTCACATCTGTAATCCCAGCACTTTTAAGAGGCTGAGGCAGCCAGATCACTTGAAGTCAGGAGTTCAAGACCAGCCTGGCCAGCATGGGGAAACCCTTTCTCTACTAAAAAATACAAAAATTAGCCAGGCATGGTGGTGGGCACCTGTAATCCCAGCTACTCGGGAGGCTGAGGCAGAAGAATCACTTGAACCTAGGATGCAGAGGTTGCAGTGAGCCAAGATTGCACCACTGCACTCCAACCTTGGAGACAGAGCAAGACTGTCTCAAAAAAAAAAAAAAAAAAAAAGAAAAAGAAAAAGAAAGATGGGGCAGGGGATAGTGGTCAGCCAAGACATTGGAGCGGGTAAAGAATTATGCAAATAACTTCCTACAAGGGTGGGCAATATAAGAGTGTCTTTGGTTAGCCTTAAAAGTGGCTTGGCTAGAAGGAAGATGAGTGGGGGCAAAGCATTTTCATTTCAACTTGTCAGGCATCTTAATGCCTTTTAGTCCTTAGACTATGCAAGGTGCTAAAATTTTTGTGTAATGTCTGTCAGGTAGATGTGTTGGAGTCTCAGTTCTCCCAGCTGCTTCATCAAATCAATTCTACCCGAGACTTTGAAAGCATCCGATTGGCTCATGACCACTTCCTGAGCAATTTGCTGGCTCAATCCTTTATCCTATTGAAACCTGTAAGTAAGGCTCATTGGTTTCCCAAACTGCTTCTAGTACTGACCATTCCCTCAGGCGCTCTGAGTTGACAGGAAATGAAACTATCATTAAGCAGTTACTCATTTTAAAACATTTTTAAAGAATGTATAACGCAAAACTAAAAGGGCATGTTCAAAGGGACCTAAGATGTCTTTGAATTTCTGAAATATAGGGCGTGGTAAGCAGCTATAGATGAAAGAATTATGTGCTTAAACGCTCAGGAGTTAAACTCAAAAACCTTGCTTGACAGTACAGAGAAACCAATGAAAAGCATATGGAGTCCACCTTCTAAGAAGTCTTTTGGACCAGGATGGATCAGTCATTTTAGTTCTTTTCATAGACAAGTAGTGTTTGTCTCTGGATGTGTGTAGGTGTTTCTATAAGTACATATGTATCTCCTTCATGGCAGTTATTCTCAACTTTGGCTGCACATTGGAATCTTCAGGACCCTTCAAAAATATCTAGGTGACACAGCACTTAAATTAGAGTCCCTATAATAGTGGGATCCGGTACCAATATTTTTTAGAGCTCACAAGCTAGTTCCAATTCCAGGATAAAGAATAGGAAGACTGAAATGATCTCTTGTAGTTTCTAATGTAATGGTTATGCTTCATCCCTGACATGAGCTAGTTGTTATTCCTCAGTGTGCTATAGCACAGCTGTTACAGACCTTTTTGTTCTGGTACAGACCTTTTTGTTCTGGTGTTTAGGGCTATTTCTGCTATATGAAGAAGGGTAAGTTATATATTAATAGATGCCAGTCCAAAGGGCTGGCTGAAAATAACCAAAAGCTACTGTGATGGGTAGACGCTGTCCTTGTGTGGCACAGATGTATCTGTAGGGAAAAGTAGACTATCAGAGCAGGTCATCATCGTTAATTATTTATTGAGTGCTTACTGTATGCAAGGCACTGGGGATACAAAGAGGTATAAGTCATGGCTCTGCCCTTAAGGAGCTCACAATCTAGTTGGAAAAACAAGACATATATACATACAAAAATCATTAACAACACAGAGGCCTGAACAATTGCCAAGTGGACAACAGTACAGATCATAAAGAAGCAAGAAATGGGGGTTCACTAAAGGCTACGGTGTGGAAGGGAGGGCTTCACTGAGAGAGTGGGTAGGACCTGAACTAGCATTAAAAAGAGCATCCAGGGCAAAGGGAACAACACTCACAGCTCAGAGGCAGGAACACACTCTGCGGGTCTAAGAAACAAAGAGTTAAATGTGGCTAGAGTGGAGGTTTGCTGCAGGGCTAAGAAGGTAATACCAGCTTAGCCAGGAAGTGATGCGTTTGTTTTACACAGTTTGTGTATTTGAGGGGCTGGTAGGCCTTGCCAAGTGGCAGTGTCTATCTTCTCAGATTTGGGAGGTCAGCTACTAATTAGAATGTTCTCCCAAATCTTTAATTTCATGAAGGTACCTTCCTTCCTTTTCCTAATGCCAACTCTGTTTCCTGGGTAGGTATTTCACTGCCTGAATGAAATCCTAGACCTCTGTCACAGTTTTTGTTCACTGGTCAGTCAGAACCTAGGCCCACTGGATGAGCGTGGAGCCGCCCAGCTGAGTATTCTCGTGAAGGTGCGTCTGCCTGGAAGTATGCAGCCTTGCCGAAAGGATAGAGGTGGTTTTGCCAATGGAGAATTCATGATCTTTCCTCTGAATCATTACAACATATCCTCAATACACACACACACACACACACACACACACACACACACAGAGAGAGAGAGAGAGAGAGAGAGAGAGAGAGAGAGAGAGAGAGAGAAATAAGATACAAAGATTAAAATGTTGGTATCAGGCCGGTATCAGGCCGGGCGCGGTGGCTCAAGCCTGTAATCCCAGCACTTTGGGAGGCCGAGGCGGGTGGATCACGAGGTCAAGAGATCGAGACCATCCTGGTCAACACAGTGAAACCCCGTCTCTACTAAAAACACAAAAACATTAGCTGGGCATGGTGGCGCGTGCCTGTAATCCCAGCTACTCAGGAGGTTTAGGCAGGAGAATTGCCTGAACCCAGGAGGCGGAGGTTGCGGTGAGCCGAGATCGCGCCATTGCACTCCAGCCTGGGTAACAAGAGCAAAACTCCGTCTCAAAAAAAAAAAAAAAAAAAAAGTTGGTATCAGTTGATTTTGAAGCAGGTAATTACTGTGCCACCTCACAGTGCTCAGAAGTAGCTCAGTCCTGAATAGTTTATTCAGCCCACCAAATAAGCACTGGCTTTGTTCTAACTTCCTCACATCCTACCCCTCCTTACTTCGTTGAACTAACTAAAGCCCATCTCACTGCGATAATTATCTGCTTGTAATCAGAACGGGTTTTCCCCAACCTCAGTACTTGACAAAATATGTTAACTGGAAACCAGCTACTAAATTCCTACTGATGAAAGCGTACTTTCATAGGAAGTCATGCATGTATGGATTTGGTACAAGTCATTTTAGGAACTAACAGAAATAGGAATGTGGGAAGGCCAGGTGGTTCTATATAATTTTGAACAAGGCTTTTCCAAGAACCCCTCCCTTCTGCCCCCATCCTCCATATGGAGAGTTGTTGAGTTGAAGTGGAATGATAACTGAGTCCTTCTGTCTGCAGGGCTTCAGCCGCCAGTCTTCACTCCTATTCAAGATTCTCTCCAGTGTTCGGAATCATCAGATCAACTCAGATTTGGCTCAACTACTGTTACGACTAGATTATAACAAATACTATACCCAGGCTGGTGGAACGCTGGGCAGGTAGGAGCAACCCTTGGGTAACTCAGTAGACTTTTTTGGGTGTCTTTTTAATGAGTTATAGAATTCTAGAGCAGGCAGGAGACTTTAGCCATGATGTAGTCCAAATACCCTCATTTTATACACGAGGCTCAGAGATAGAGTGTGACCATCTTTAATAATTTTAATGAAGATTATTTTCTAGTAAAAGTCGTCATCATCATCAGATGCTAAAAAACCTGACAATGAGATAGGTATTCAGTTCTTTGCTAGGTTATATATTGCTGTGCTGGGGGTGGGTGTGTGCCTTTCATTCCCAATTCTAACATGAACTAGCTGTGCGCTGTAGGCACCCCACCTTGCTTGTCCCTAGCCTCTACATCTGTGAAAGGAGGGACCACCCTTTCTAATTCTAAACTTTAAAAAAAAAATCTGATAGTGACATTCAGTGGTAGCAGGCTTCCCAGAGGTCTGTCAGTTTTATTGACCTTTCTCTCTCTAAAATGTCCACAAGCAGATTCTTTCCTAAGCTTTTTTAGCAGAATAGTTGGGAGAAACTCTTGAGTTTTAAGATGACATTATTTAGATCACAGGTTGTCCTAATTCATATTTCTCTGAAGGCAGTATTGGGAAAGCATAATACTTAATAAGGCTTTCTTTCTTTTTTGTAGTTTCGGGATGTGAAAAGCTCTGACTCATAAACTGAAGTAACAGTAAATCCCACCTCATTCCCAAGGTTGTAACAGAAGATTCAAAACAAACATCCCATTCTAGCCACACACAAATAACTGCAGCCTAGTGGTAAGACTCTACCTATCCCTAGAAGCAGTTACTGAACATCCAGGGGTACAAATCCTTCCCATCATTCCCATGTGGAAGGGTCTGGCCGATCAAGGAGACTATGTGGCATCTCTGATACTTTACACTGAGAAAATATGCTGGATATGTTCTTTTCTTTAATAGTGATTTATTGAGCACCTACTATGTGCCTTGGTACTGTTCAAGCTGTGGGAGATACAGCAGTAAACAATACAAAGCAGAAAGTTAACTTTTATGTTTCATATGTGAACAAGTAACTGTATTTATAAACAGGTTAACTGCTGGATGTTACCACCAAGTAAGAAAGGAACAGGTAAGACAGGCTTTCTCTCTCCCTATATACCAAGTAATTTATACCTACACAGATTGGACAATTCTAGCTAATGAAAATATATTTAAAGTATTTCCTAGGTCAGGTGTGGTGGCTCACACTGTAATCCCAGCACTTTGGGAGGCCGAGGCAGGTGGATCACCTGAGGTCAGGAGTTCAAGACCAGCCTGACCAATATGATGAAACCCTGTCTCTACTAAAAATAAAAAAATTAGCCAGGCATGGTGGCATGCACCTGTAATCCCAGCTACTCAGGAGGTTGGGACAGGAGACTCACTTGAACCTGGGAGGCAGAGGTTGAAATGAGCCAAGATCACACCATTGCACTCCAGCCTGGGCAACAAGAGCGAAACGCCATCCCCCGCCCCCCCCAACCAAAAAAAAAGTATTTTTTATTCTCCAAGAAAAAGGTTCTTAAGAAAAAACTGAGATCAAGTTGTTAGGTTTTTAAATACTGAAGACTGCAGGCCCAATTACCCATCTTACACAAGCCATAGGAGTTGAAGTTCTCTTAATATGGCCCAGCCAACACTGGTAATATTCATATCAGTGTGAGTAAATAAATATTCGTTTAACAACTCCCTCCAAACTGAAAAAGAATGCAGTGTTCTGGCATTAGTTTATAGTCACTGAATCTGGTTTTCATCGCTACATCTTCTACACACAGTGGGAAGCTCTGACAGCCTTACTTCCTGTTATTATCAACTAAAGATCACCCTTTCCACTGCTGTCTCTAGAACAGGGGTTGGCAAACTATGGCCTGCTGTCTTTTTGTAAAAACATTTTTACTGAAATGCAGCCATGCCCATTTGTTAATTCATTGTCTATAGTTGCTTTCACGCTCTCACAGCAAAGGGGAGTAGTTGTGATGAATCAAATGGTCCACAAGGCCTGAAATATTTACTCTTTGGCCCTTTACAGAAAAAAAACTTGTTGACCCCTGCTTTAGAAAAGAATGAGAAGACATAAACAGGGATGATGCTAGAGGAAGGGAAGGAATAGCTTCCAGCCATTGTGACAACAATAATACTGGGCCTCTGACTAGCACTTTTAACATTTCCAAGCGTTCTCACTTGTGCTTCTCATGTTTATCTTACGGAAGGTCACACCATCCAGCTTATGGTCACTGTCCTTTCATGGCAGTTGGTGCTGTTGTTCTCCCTTTAGCTCTAAGAGTGGGGGGAATACCCACAGATCAGCTCTTAGTGATCTCAGCTATAAAGAGAGAAAGAGAATGAGATCTTTTTTTTTACTGTTAGGAAACAAAAGCTGTGCCCAATTCCACTCAACTTTTGGCACATCTATTAATTAATCTGGGCCATCACCTATTTTAAATTTTGTAAGCACAGCATTTTAGACATTACCTAGAATAACCAAATTTTGGCAATGAAGCCACAGAATAAAGTTCACTGTAACTTTTCAATTCCCTTGGCTAGCTGACCTCCTAAAGTGAATAAGCCTATTGAAAACCTCAGACAGTACTGTTTGTCTTGACATTTGTTCTGAGATTAAGCTCAAAGAAACAGATGAAGAAATCCCAGTTACTACAACCAAAGAGATTCAACATTTATTTTATCATAAAAGTTCAGCAAATAAAACTATATACAAGATCCATGCAAGGAATCCAGTTACACACAAGACACATTTAAAACCTGGTTAAAACACAATCTCCACGATAGCAGGGAATACAACCAGTAAGACCAAATATCTTTAGTGAGAAACATAATCGTGTTTATATTTTGGATGCTGCTTGAATCCAATTCTCTCCCCAACAATGAGGCACTGGATCACCCACTCTTGTGACACCACAGGCAGCTGCAATGCTTCGGCACATTTCAGCACCGAGGCTGGGCACGAGGGGTCTGTCACCACCACATCAAATACCCCTAAAGCAATATCTGCCAGAAGCAAGGGAAAGTGAACAAGGAAAGGACACTCAATTTAGCCCTCTGTTACAAAGAGAGATGTGATTCTAGCCAATACATCCCACTCTGCACAAACCAAAGCCCATTATGTCAAACACACTGCTACTGATCATGACCAAAAGTAGAGTTATAATCACTATGTGCTGACCTTGTAAAAATATTTAACAATATACACCCAGGGCTTAACGTTGACTCCCCTCTTGAAGGTGATACTTTTCTTCTCTTAGAAACATGGATACAGTCAACCTATTAGGACTGAGCCTTGGACCACAAGGCCTGACACCTAAAGGTCTAAGGAAATCCCTGGAACAAAGACAAAGACATACACACACACACTCTTTCATGTACCTTTGTTATGGGCACTTGAATGGTGCTGCTTCACAGAGGCTGCGCCACCAGTCATGAGGATCTCAGACCAGAGCTCCAGGAAGTTCTGCTGTTGGTCTGACACCAAGAGTACCTTCAGATTCTGGAAAGGATTTTCACGGGGTTGCCTGTGAAAGACAGAGATAGCTCTATATAACCGGAAAGGGCCTTAGCATGACAAGTAATACCAACAAACTGCCTTTCTGCAAATGCACTCTTGTACATCTGAATGCTCTCAAAACTACGTGTCCCATCAGGCATGGTGTCTCATGTCTGTAATCCCAGGAATTCAAGAGCAGCCCAGGCAATATGGCAAGACCCCAACTCTACAAAAAAATAACAAATTAGCCAGGTATGGTGGCAACTGCCTATAGTTCCAGCAGCTTGAGGGACTGAGGTAGGAGGATCACTTGAGCCCGGGAGGTTGAGGCTGCAGTGAGTCGTCACTATATCACTGTACTCCAAACTTGGTGACAGAGCAAGACTTCATCTCAAAAAACTGAGGCCTGTATCAGGGTCCCCCTTCTCTTCCTTCTTCCCGTGAATGACCTGTATTCTTTGTGATCCTGGCTTTCTGATTTCCTTGTGTGTTCTGGGGCTGAGAATAATCCAAATCATGCTCTGAGCCTATATTTTTAATGACTGCTTAAAACTTCATTCTCTAACCTTACAGGTTGAGAATACTGAGCCTATGTACAAATCTTCACACATTTTCAAAAGGTTCCTAGCCAATGTAACCTATGAAAATAAACTAGATAAAATGCTAAAGTTATTTCAGACCTACTCAGATTTATCCTACACATATTCCTTCCCTCCAAAGTTTGCTGCCTTCCTGTCTATACAGTTCTGGATGGGCTCTCAAATACCTACCAGTCCAGAATTCTTTGCTCCTCAAGGCTGTACCCAGCTGGCAACAGATAATTACGGTAGTTCTGGAGCTGGTTGGCATGGCAACTATCATGGACCCAGACATGAGACACACAAGGAATCCCACTGGCAAGGCACAGGAAGTACTTCCGGGTTCGACAGTGCTGATCCGCAATTAGAAGACACTGGTAAGCTGTGTTACACTGGAAGAAAAGCAGCAGAGCCAATGGGTGTGGTGACTTACGTGGAAAGCTCCTAAGTAGCAGTCATAATTGAGCCATGAAGAGCAGATCTGAAGACTTGCAACTACTACGCAAAATGCGATTTAGTCTGTCTGCCCAAGGCCACTTTTCTCATGGGAAGGCCCAATCGTTCTCACTGCCTCACCTGCAGCATTCTGAGGACCTAAATCCTCAAGGGACAACCAAGACCCATAAACTCAGCCTTTCAGGCTAACAATCAGCAACACTAATAGGGGTTTCCACCACTAAACACAAATTTCAATCTACTTTTGTCCCAGCAACAGAACCACAGCCAGTAACCAACCCAAGGTCCTAACTTCTCTTCCCTACACACAACAAAAATCTTTTTCATGCAACAACATTTTGGCACTGTCTCAGTTCCTGAAATCTCTGGCTACTTTATCCAAATCCCCCAACCGCTCTCAGGCCTCTTCTCATACAGTAAGTTGGCTCTTATCATTGCCACTGTGTTAGGTTACACAAAGAAACTCCTCACCTGGGCTTCATTGAAATCTTCAAGGATATAGCCAGCTCCTGCTCGAAGCTGGGATTCTGTGTACTGTTTGTTGAAAGGAGGAATTTCTAAAAATTCTATATTAAAACAAAAACAAAATAATTACTGAGTGATTGTTTTCTTATTTGCTACCTTATGCCTGCTTCTTATTGTCCCCTTTCCACTCCCCAGCTATATCCACAGCAGTGTGTCCCCAAAGACAGGCCAAGGGCTTCCCCATGGGTCAGAAAGAGATCTGTCTTGAGGCCTTTACAATGCTGCAGAAAGAAGGGACAAGAGTAGGAGGGAATGGGAAGATGAGGACTGGAGGTAGGTCCTAGACCTAAAAACATCAATGGTTCCTGTACCAGACTGTTCATAGGGATGGGCACACAATCATTTCCCACAGTGACATATTCCAACTTGAATAACCCTTACCATCAGGAAGTTCCCATTGTATCTATCCTAAATCTTTCCTGTTGCAAATTAAACCCCATTTCCTCTACTTCTACCTTCTGTGGAAATGAATAGCTGATAAACACTTTTTATAATAAAGCTTTCATATTCCCACTTCATCAGCCTTTTTTCCCCCTTGCACACTAAAACTCAGAATGCTCAATGAAAGTATAGTTGTAAAATTTTAACTGATTAAGTGAAGGTTAGAAAATCCTGTTTCAACCTTTTTATTGAAAACTATCTACCTTTGATGATCTTGAAGTACCTCAGGACACTGAACATCAATGACTGCTCTATAGTCTTGAGGGTGAAGTAGAAGATATGTGAGATGAGGCTGAAGCTGTAATGACCCTAGGCAATTAGAAATTGCCTCTTTTGACCAAATATCTAATTTGAGCTTGTTTTCTTGTCATCTGCTCCTCTCATATATAAATAACACATTAAAAAAAAAAAAAGAAAAAAGACATTAGAGATTTTAGTTAATTAGGAGTTTTGGGAAATTAAGTTCTAATTAACTGAAATTTTTATCACAAATTTTAAAACCCAACCCAATCCAGTGCATAAGGTTCAATGCTAGCACCACTCCCCTTCCCACCCAGCGATGAAACCTACTAGAGCAGATCCCTTGCAGAGACAGCTCCCCCTTCAGTGCCCTCCTTGCCTGCTGAAGCAGCCCAGGCAGTGCTGAGGCCCCATGCCAGGGCTCAACATCTCTGCTTAGTTCTGACTAGCCAGCCTATTCACATTTATTGCTCTTTTCTTGATTCAGCATTCTCCACATTCTTCCCAAATTGAAATCTCAAAACAGAAACTCTTAATGGTTATAAGAAACTCGGTACAGCAGGGCTGTTTCTCAGCTTTGTCACAGCATCCTTTGCTATCTCAATATAGCATGCCACAATCTTCAGCACCAAGATTCTATTGCTGAGTCACTGCTGACACCCCTCACAGTCCTGTATTTTTCTCAAGACTTCTACTTTATGTCTGCTTAATTCAGGACTGATCTGTTTAGATTTTAATCCCTAATTATATTTCCTTGCATTTGTCTAGTGAAGTATTAGCCTGTCGAGGCAGTGTGTTTCTCTAATTTTTCTCAAGTAGTCCAGTTTCTTCATTTTTGAGGTATGAGTGCCCTGCCCAGCCAGATGCTAATATGAATACACTGTTAATCGCACCATCTAAATCAAGTATGAAGGTACTAAATAAACCCAACTCGAGTCAATCCCTGTGTCTAAAGCAT